GCAATATTAAAATGATGTTCTACAGTCATGTGCAAAAGTTTAAAGACCAACTGGAATTTGACTGGTATTTCTGTCACTGGGCTTGCATTACATGTACATTGTATCATTGAATGGTTACTTAACATGCTTTTACAGTGGTGCATAACATCAGTGTAGTGCTATATACCCATTCGAATGAATTTTTTTGCAAAGGCAGGTCTTGTTTGACATTTTGTCTGCAATGCAGCATGGGTAAAAAAAAAGCCAGTCTAAGCAATCAGAAATAAAGGAGGGGCACACTAAAAATAGACTGTTACCATCTCAAATTACGGAAATGTACTGGTAGTCACGTACTGTACCCTGCCCTGCTCTGGTCCCACCCCTGTCGTCAAAATGCCCTCATTAACGGAATGGACATTCTGTATCCCAAGCCCCGCCCCCAAAGTGGGAACGCCCCCGTTTTCACGCGGAGAACTTTGACTCACTTGTTGTACATGTGATTGTCCACTTTCATCTTGCTGTAGGCCTTGAAGTCATCCGGCAGCAGCATGACGGGGATGTTGACGTGGCTCAACTCGTTACTCTGTCGCGGGGGGAAGAAAAAAAAATGTCATCCTTCCACCCGACAGTTTTGGGGAAAGTTCAGGCGTAAACTATAGTTCAATCGCTGTCAATTGTTTTTCCTTTTTACAATTGATGAGAATGCATAACGCGGCCATACTCAAACAGCCCTAGTTGAACTCTCTGGCTAAATCCCATCGTCACTCATATTTTGCTGTTGGATGCCACTCATGCAGCGTACCGTAAGTGGTCAATGGCATACCCCGAGGTTCTTTTCATGGGAATGGCTCCCTCCGCCCTGAAAAATTACGTTGTCTATCGATGCTCAACCAGCCGTGTGACTATGCCCCACGGCCTAGTTCCAAATGGTTGGCCATATGGTCCATAGACTTTGTGTATGCTCTCTACAGACAGAGGTGGCCAGATATGGAACTCCTTCCCAAAACTGCTGAGAACTACATGTATGATGTACCAGAACCTGACCATATTACATGTATTTCTACTTCACAAACATCACAAACAAATATAAAATCAATAGCTTCAGGAACTGCGCAAAACTCACCAATATAACCAACATTTTGAACATGACCATGTTCCCCTTTTTACGTTTGCAAGATCAGACAAATCACTTTACGTACAAGTTGTCAAGAGTCCACTTTTCTTGGAATGTGTCCATTGACGTGATTGACTGCCCCAAACTGCACTTTTGTGGATCAAATCTTCCACCAAAAAGCCGTCTACACTAAATAATGATCTCATTAACACGCATGCTCAATGGTTATTGGACCATGTACTGTAACTAGGTATCTTTGGCAAAATCCAGACGTTTTATTTATGATCCTGCCTCTCTTCACCAACAATCGGCACATCTGAGCTGCATACTGTGGCCCATGTCCGTTGACACAAAGACTGGTTCCTGTCCCGTCCCATTCCTCTGAACGTTTATGATAGCGACGGCGATCACTCCAACGACGCGCGATGACTCCGTGGTCTGTGTGCGCATTCCTTCACTGGGGACTTACATGGTGCGGCAAAATCATATCAGTGGGAATGAGGTTGAGTTATTGGACTGGTTGCAGTCCCTATTATACATGTAAGGAGGACTGGGACAGGACGGGAACCAGTCTTTGTGTCAACAGACATGGACCACAGTATGCAACTCAGATGTATAGGTCGTTAGTAAAGAGATGGAGGATCATAAGTAAAACGTCTGGATTTTGACCCCAAACCTGGTGACATGGTCCAATAACCATTAAGCACGCGTATTAATGAGATATTAGGCCTTATTGAGGGAATGACTTGTTATGTGGGTACAGGGTGAAAAATCCCTTTAGAAGAAAGGGACACTGACCTGTACTTGGCTATGAGGCTGATCGTGCGGAGAGGCCTTATTTAGTATCAGCCTGAGTAACTTGGACTCTACAAATCGCCTTTTTTAACATTTTGATGTTGGGTGATAGTAGAGTCCAAGTACAGTACTTTGCATTTGAAAGTTAACGCTGCGAAAAGGAATGGGAAAAAATGTGAAAGGAATTCGCATTCACATTTTGCATTTTGACCACAACTTTTCCCCCCTGCGAATTTGCAGCGAATCGGATGCAAAAGGGGCAAACAACGTGCAAAAACAGTGCAAAAATTGTGCAAAAACGGTGCAAATTTTTTGTGAACACGGCATGGAACATTGAAAAAAACAGTGTGCGAAAACAGTGTGAAATTTTGCGAAAGCGGTGCGAAAGGTTCCGAAAATTATGCGGAAACTTGCAATAATGAGAAGAATAGTGCAGCGAAATGCTCCACTGGCCACGCGACTTTTATGCAGAGAAGAGTCCATTACGCAGGCAGCGCTGTGCTTGGGGCCGGCTGGGGCCAACTCACCACGCGGAGTGTGCTGTTGTAGTCTAGTGCACTGTATGTGTGCATTACAACAAACTTAACTTGCTCTACTGTGGCGACGTAGATTACTTGCCAACTTTTTATTTATTCTCGTGATGTAATTTGGCACACAAAATAATCAACACTGAGATACTACATGTTGTACTTTGTTACCGCGATGTTTCTTTCTACCGATGAATAAAATTAACTGCTTAAACTGTATGTGTATCTTCATGTAGCAAATCTCGTCTTTTCGCTGATTGTGTACAGAGTGACATGTCGGATCTGTTTTCACTTGGGTTTTCATATATGTAATACACAGACTGAGCGATAAGATACTACATGTACCAATGGGCTCTTCCAAAACTTTGGCAGCAGTTTAGATGTCTTGACATCTAAACTGACATCTAAAGTGACACAGCCGTCGAGACGATAAGGGTCAAGTGACGTATTGTTCAACAACCTTATTCTAAAGATGGCGATCGGGAGAGCGAGCCCGTTAGATTGAATGGCTAAAGGCAAAAGGACTGAAAAATACCTTAAGAATGTGAGTGAAATCATTCAATAAATGGTTTTTAGAAAACGGAAAGGTCAAGGATCATGTTTGTGTGCAAAAGAAATTGCGCCCACGATGATAAGTGGGTGCGCCGAAAATGTTCAGTATGCCGACACGAAATTGCGCACACGGATGTGTGGCTAAAGATGGATCAGGAGTGAGAGTCCGTGCCACACTAGTGGGGCTAGCCTGGCCTAGTAAATAATATGCAGAAAGTCAAGACTGGCAGACTGGTGAAACAACACACATACTGAAAAAAAGTGTTTACAATGATCTTGAGAAATGACAAAAGTGAACTGGGATTGCAAAATAACTTTCCTCAACCATTGTCAACATTAACTTTAAGAGCAATTGTGTCATCCATGACTAGCCTACATACCGTACTGTTGATGCCCCACATTAAAACACTCAACAGCGGTTCGCTGGCACGAAACAACTTCACTTTCTGCGGAACATGCTTTATGTGTTTTTTCTTCTTCGACTTGGGGATGTTGGACACCGTAGTCGCCATCTTTAGCTTTCAGGGCCCGGCCCCAGGTGGATAACTCAGAGAGACTGTCAACGCTGTGTTGCTTATGGACTGACTATGGAAATCAAGGGAAAATTATCACACATTTACGCGATATTTGACAGCCGTGTTTACATATCCCCGGAGCAGCAAAAAATCCGAATGGGCAATGCCCACAACTGCTGGTCTGGTTTTTAGCCTCACTTCTGCTGGGGTAACGTCTAGTGTTCGCTTGGAAACCAGTCTGCAGGAAAATGTGCACCGGAAATTTCTGTAGGAACGTACAGTTCCGGTCTCCAAACGAACCGCCAACAGCTCAGGTTGGATTTATCAACCAAATAAGTTCTTCCCTTTCAAATTGACACTTGAGATTAGTAAAAAAACAAAGACTGCATAGATTCTAGAAACTTATGCATTCAACTATATGTATTTGAGATAAATACAAATTTATGAGTCTGGTTTTCGACCCGGTTTAAACAGTTTTTCGCTATTGATGACAGTTTGTGTTACCAGGCTTTTTTACTGTCAACGTTGCCAAAAGAGGGCGCTCAAGCGGTAGTGTGGTCAGAGCTTGATGACATAAGGGTGCAGTAGCTACTACTTCAAGTGAGAATTTCTGGCCAGCTCATTAGCATTTTCATGCACTTCACTTTCAGAATTTCACACACAAAGGTGGAGGGGCCACTAAGAAGCACAGCTTGTCGAGTAGGGGCCCCTGTACAGGCATAACTGGACATGTAAGACAAAAACGTTACATAAAAATAATCTACATCTAACAATTAACAAAGAAAAATATGTATAATGAATATGTGTACACGAATTCATAGACAAATAAAATAATAAAACCTGTAATCTGTAGCCTGTAAGGCTCAGTCATTTCCCTTGTAATTATTCAGTAAACACTTCTTATGTTTCTGTTTGAATAGTGATAAGTTGGGTAAATCTTTTAACAAACCTAATGAGTTTCACAGCTTGGGACCCTCATGCTTAACTGTTTTGGTTGCAAGTTTCGTGCGTACAAAAGAGAGATGAAACTCACTACACTGCCTTGTTAAGTTCCTGAAGATGTTCTGAATAAAGAACGAAATATTGAATCAAACATGGCTTTCATTAGTCTTTATGGAGTCTGCATAATATTGAGTTAAGTGGTAATAAATTTTATTATTTTTTGTCAACATTGAACTGATGTAGTTGGGTACATTAGTATTATTTACTTGATGCATGAGGCTTAAGCATTTAAAGTGCCCCCGCTGTATCTTTTGAAAAAGGAGGTTTTTTGGTCCCCAAAATGGTGAGATTGTGTAAATCGTTGCCAGAATCAACTCCCTGGGTCCTTTAGCTTTCATATGAGAGAAAATTGCTCAAAATTACGGTTGAAAAATGGTCCTGAGTACTCGATAAAGTTGAGGGTTGCCACTTGAAAAATGGCTGCAATCAGGCCTCGGAGAAATCACTTTTAGGGGTGTGATTTTGTTTTATGGGAATAATTTTAAAATGTAATTGGTTAACCCACAAAAAATTAAAAAGAAATTGAAAGATTAGGGACCGGACAATAATTTAGTTTGTGTTTCGGAAATCTAAGGGATGTTGGTATGCATGTTATTGGGCTTGAATTAGTAGACTGTACCGTATAAACGCATGGGTTGCACTACACCAACTACTAGAAAACACTGCCAAATTAGAGCGCCACCTGTCGACTCTTGGGAAGAGGTTGGCCTCCTTTTTTTTCACTGGAAATTCAAGATTATGGCCAGAAGATCACTCCTCGGGGTTAGCTGCGAAAAAGTTTTTATTCGCCTTTTCCGCATGTAAACAACTGCAGGCTAGGCAAATGCGTTGCGCGTATTGCGCACTGAACGCGCTGCCATCGATCGTTTCGCCAACTGTTTGCCCATCCGGTTCGTAAGTGTGACGTCACTTCATTTCACTTACGAACCGGATACTTTTCAAAATCGATCATGGCTAACGGTTATACGCGCAAGACTGGCGGTCTGTGCGTTTTTATAACGCCTCACCCGCAGATTCTGTATCTTGATTGGCCAAAAGTGTGCCATGTGACTGTCTTGCTCGTTTTATTTTTATACCACCGTTTCAAAAAGACTATACCATGCAGCCTCATTCTGAAAAAGAACTATATCTGTAGCAACAAAAGCATAGGCGTGTATTTCGGCTCATACCGAACAACACTGGTTAATGAATGTATTCAAACGTTGCTGTTCTGCTTGGAATTCTTGAATTAAATTTGATGAATGTAAATTCCAGTTTAGTGTTTCATTGTTGATTTTTAGCTTAAATTTTGCAGAACTGTGGGGAGGTGTTCTAAAACAAATATTGACTGCTTTATCTCGCTGCACAGTAAAACTTGCCTCCCTCAGTGATCCATGGAGCACTCTCTTTTCCCTCGGCTTTGCCTCTGGAAAATAGAATGCTCCCTGAATCACTCGAAGCAGTCAATATTTGTACAATACCTCTGTGGATACACGTCTGAGATATGTGGCGAATATCGAAAAGTGAAATTCTGACCGCTACGGAAACGCAAGCGATAGCGAAAGGGCGATGCTAATAAGGCGTTCGGTGAATAACTGGTTTCAAAATCAGTCTTCAGCAATCAAGCCATGAAGAGAAACAGCGTCTGACAGGCGAATCAAATAAAGCTGAGTAAACAAAAGACACGGGGAAAAGGCAGAGTGAAATATATATATGTATATATATATATATATATATTTATTTATTTTGAGACTGGACAGAATTTACCGTGGCGTTGGGGGACCGCATTCCGTATCAAAGACTAATTTCCAGTTAACTTTAAGGTAGAGTTCCTAAATCCTTAGGAGTGAATGATGTTGCCTTCCAGTTTTGCGTCAGCAACCAAGTTCAACTTTGGGGGGGGGGGGAGTTGCTACACTATCGTATGAATTGTATCCCAAATCCTAATTTAATGTAAAAAATCAACAGTACAATGTACACACTAGACGGAAATACGGTGCTTTTAAAGAAACAAGACAGAAATGAAATGTTCATAAATAACTTTCATATTATGTTGGAATGCCAATTTTGACGGAAAATGGGAATTTGAAAAGCAAAAATGTATTATCCGTCCCCGGGTGGGCTTGAACCACCAACCTTTCGGTTAACAGCCGAACGCGCTAACCGATTGCGCCACGGAGACCCGTTACAATGACATGAGATTTTAACTACTTTAAATAAAAGTACAAAATTATGCAATCGATTCAGTAGATTTTAAGCTTTTTGTTAAATTTCATTCATGACACCCAACCTACATTCTCTCTCTCAAAGTGTGTATACAAGAAAAGTGTCCTAAAAATGCGTTTTCATTCCATTTGGATTTCCAAATTTCGTCGTTTTTAAAGGGAAAGGTCTCGTTGGTATCTTCAATATTTCATTGGAGTAATGCACAGAGTACCAGTGAATTTATAGGACCCGCCGTGTGGTTCACCGGCGCTGAAGACGCGTCTATGTTTTATCACATGGCATGTTGTATTGTATTCGCGTGCATGTAATACGTGCGTACGTACAGTGGGTCTACGTAGCGTGCTGTGTAACCGTTTTTTGGGGGGCACACGTACAATGGAGGATTTTCAATGTCGATCTTGTCCATACTGCGTGGGATATTTCCGTTTCTGTTGAACCCTATGGCTCCAGGGAACATGAAATCTGACATAGTGGGACTCCAGCGCAACAAGATCGTCAGCAAGGGTGCCTTGTCACGGAAAGCCCTGGCCCGGATCGGGCAGAACGAGGAGTTGTCGTCCGCACCCGGCGTCATCAACAACATGGCGATGCTGACGACGGGTATGCATACGACGACCACGGGAGACTCCAACCCCAGGGCCCCGTCGCTCGCGGCAGCGTTGGGCGATGGCACAAAGAACTCCGGGCCGGGCGGTGGTGTCGAGGAGACGGATGAGGAGCCCCTGATGTTGTTGGACGAGGGGAAGGTCCTGGAGACCCACGAGGTGCAGCACCTGAAGGCGCTGTCCATGCTTCACCTGGACGTCATCGAGCAGCAACAGCAAGAATTGCAGAGGCGAGAGAAGGAACTGCAGAAGGTCCGGGCGCAGAACGACACGGTAGGTTGGCTGTTGTTGGACAACGCAAGTCACACCGAGCCATGGCGCTCACTTCGGTCTGTCCTGTTCATCTTGCATTGACCTCCACACGGCCACGACGGCGTCAGTTGGATATTTTATCAGGAATGAGTTAGTTACGTTCAAGGAGCGATAAATCCTGTTTTGGGGTCAGAATAGATAAATTTATTTATCCCCTTACAATCTCATGGCTGTTGAAAGGTTTTTAAACTCGAATCTTGAATTTGTTGATTCTTATGTTGTGCTTTATAACTCTGTGTTAGGGGGCCTATGTAAACTATTTTGTGTGGTGGTCCTCATGTTTCTCAGCTGTTTGTTTAAAATTTAAACTTTGTAAATGTGCTTTTGTAATCTTTAACTTCTTAATATAAGGTTAACATAGTTGCTTTTAATTCTTTCATGCAATTTTCGAACGGATTGAATCATTTCATGACCGGGAGGCCGGAGGCTTGGTGACTTTAATTTATTTGCAAAACTGTAAGGCAGAGCCAAAAACATTTTATTAGCATTGTGATTAACATGATAAAAGTACAAGGTCTCCTAGTCAGTATGTTATGCTAGGATAAAATGCAGAATCATCACTGTATTTTTTATGATATTTGAATGGGAAAGTTGTGTTACTACAGTCACAGTTTTTGAGCTGTAACATCTCTCGAACTCCATGCTTATTGGTCGAACTGAATTTTTGTCAAGAGTTGATCAATTGACTTGTCTCAGTATTATGTTGACGTGTTATCAAGGCCCACAAACCTGACACCAATGTGACCTGCACTTTTAGCAAGTGTTAGTGCATGTTTATTTCAAAGGATTATTTATCTCGAATCTGATTTCAAATATTCCCTTTTTGACCGTTTGCTGTACTTCCTGTTTACATTTTAGCTCTGTGGAAGCGCCAGCATTTTGTGCATAATTGTTCTTAACAGCGCCCTCTGTTGTTGAAGTTTGTCAAGTTGACATGAATTTTTATGGCGCCCTCTGTTGTTCGTGGAAATCACTTATGTTATTGGCCTGAACAGAAAAACGATTTGTTTATCATCGTAAAGTGTGTTTAGTGTATGTGTCTAGTGTTACAGAATTTCCTTGCTTGGAATGAGAGTATGGTAACATTTTTTTTTATTTTTTCATTTTTTTTGTGCCTGTGGACTTTTTGCAGGTGCAATTTTCCTTTGATGAAAGTCACTTATTTATTTATTTTTTAAGTTGAAGGCTCGCCTCGAGAGAATTCAGAGACGAACGGTCTTGGCACAGAAGCACCGAGAACCACTGCCCAACCATATACACATACCGGCACCAGTCTCAAGTGACTCATCATGTACTAATAAGAGGTAACGTGATACTAGTCCCTTGATTGTGCAGGCTTTGTTATATTTTTGTCTTTGGTGTGTATTGGCCGATAATTCTACAGATTTTGACAAAATGAAAGACCAACGCAGTCTGAAATTCAGTTTAAATTTCATTCAGCAGGTTCTTTGTATTTTGTTTTTTTTTAACCCCTTGACGACGGGAATTTCTTCCCGAAAGCCGACTCCAAGAATTCCAGCCTCGCTTGGCCACGAAGGCCACCTGCCAAACCTCAGATTCTCGGTTTGTGGCCCTGCGTGCTCACATGCTTTGAATTACACGGTGAAAAGGCTGATTGTTCGGTAGCATGCGGCTCTACTCACGCTTCCACATTACTGTTGCCTCTTTTCAAAGTGGGGACT